ATAAATAAACAAACGGTTGTATAACACCGTGTTACATTATCGTGTAGATAACAAATGAAATGGTAGAAAAAAAAAAATCTTTGAAAAACAATTATTATTGCCATCCCCATGATGAGTTTGCAAAAGCGTTTTAATGATCGGTCAGTATGATATCATTTTTTTAATTAATTTGGGCACAACGTTAAGGTATATTACATGTGCTGTATGTATTATTTATTAGTACTCTTGATTTGATGTGGGTAATACCCGATTTTGTGGGTAGTCAACGTTTTCGGGTAGTGGGTACCTATTATATTGGGTAATATTACAATATTATAAATTTACACATCAAAGCTTCAAATTTGATATTTGTCTCTCATTACCTCTAAGATAGATTCAACGAGAAGATTGGAACCTATCCATAGTTTTTTTCATAACCGTTTTTTAAATCTGAAGTTATTCCTGAAAATTGGATTCGTAAGTCCGGAGCCGCGTTCAGTTGATTTCGAAACTTATTCTTAGTCTTTGTACACCCCGAAAAGCTATAAAATACGCACCTCACATCGGGAAATGCGTCGATTCCAGTTCTATGTTGAGTTCTATGTTCAAATCAAAATATTGCTAATTCATTTATATTTTCCCAAACTTCTCACGGAACCCTTCGCCCAAGCTCACGGAACCCATAGGTTCCGTGGAACACCAGTTGAGAAACACTGCGATAGAATGTTACGAGTTCGCCCATTTGTTACACACGATAATTATACATGTATATTATTATTATATTTTATCTTGTTCGTCGTTTTGTTACGCTAATGTGGACGCGGCTTAAAATATCATTCGTCCACGCACGGCAAGAACAAATTAATTTTACCGTATGCAATATAATGTGTGTACTGAAATATTAATTTGTTGCACAGAAAAAAAAAGAAGAAGCCATTTCATTAGGTCAATACTATTACTAACGATTATACAATTAAAGTGCTTTAGCCTATAGATGCGAGTAAGTTTTGTTTTAGGCGATGTACCTCCGTGTTTCGGTAAACGATTTTGAACGGAAAATAGTCGTATGCGAATTACGTACCTATTACACGAAACACGTACGTACGTATCGCTTGCGTTTGTTTTTAGTTGTCTGAATGTTCATAGCTGCGCAGTGCGCGACGACACCGGTCGGCCGGTTGGTTTTCGTACTAATCTCGATGTACCATTATTATTACCATTATTATTAATATACCATGTTAATCGTCGAACGGTCGAAATCGTTTTTTTGTTCTAGGGGAAACGCACGGGGCTGTTGCCACGGGCCGAGTACCTCCGGACGTTCAACTCGTTTAAAAAATATCGATACACCGTTGCCCGTTGACAACAGCCAACACCCGCGAGACACGTACACCTACGAATGATTATAATAATAACGATAATTTTAACATGCACATTAACCGTACCTACTTGTTATAGCTATTACCCGCGCTAATGAAAACGGACTACTGTTTGCATTATGCACGCCCATTGGGTGGTAATGCAATCGGATATGTTTGCAAGACTACCGTTTACAATAATAATAATACACAATTCTAATGAATCAATTGAAACGCGGTACAACGGGGATACCGCGAAAACCCACAGCGTCCGCGGTAAAAATGTTGACGTAACCGGGGCACGGAGGAATTAAAAACCGATAATTGTCGGCCGGGTCCAAGTTCGGTTCGATCAAGACTCGTCAGTCAGCTACGCTCGACTTGGGTACAATCAACACGTGCATCATGACGGCCACATCAATTTTCTTCGCGGTTTCGATAAACACGACGGTGCCAAGTCGAAAAAGTGCGTAAAACTATACGAACCCGTTCGAGTGTCGCGAAAAATCATATTGAATGGGCACATAATGTTACATTACGGTTTGCTAACCGGGTCACCGAATGGCAATAATACACGCGAATGATTAAAAACGATAAGACCAACGTCGTATCTGCGTACGTGTTATATTCTGATTGGTAATTAGTTACGGTGTAATGTGCTCGAAGTTCGAACATTTACAATTGATTATTTGCTCGAACCGCAATAATTCACGGACGTATTATAATTATCATTATTACTTTGCAGTCTGCTGACACGCGCGACGAACGGTGCACAGTCGATGAGTTCATTTGGTTTTACGTAATATGGACAGATTGTGCGGAAAACTTGCGTTTCGCGGTGGAGCATTTATTCTCGCCGGCTACGCCATAATAGTCCGTTCAGTTTCTCCTCCGTCCGTTCCCGGATGACACGTGGTCACACAAACTGAAGTTTTCGGATCCCGTCCCGGCTGCACTATAAACGAATATCATAAACATTAAGACAATAAGATCCACCGCGTCGGCATGTAGGTACGCGTATTGAAACGATCTCGCACGAACCTAATCGATTTTTTGATTTTCTTTTTGCTGTCGTCCGACAGTTTTTTCTCGAACACGGTGCCCTTAGGAGCAATAATGTTCGTAGTCCAATTCCGACTGGTACGAACAACGATGTCAATGTCGCGTAACGATAATTAACGATGACCGACTGATACTCGCGATGTCGACGTCGTTCAAAAGGTTATATTACTTATTAATGTTATTATACGGCAACAGTCGAACGACTGATTATAATACCGTAATCAAATGCAATTAGCGCACGATTTGTCAATATTACCGTTTGCCCATAGTGAATTCGTAATGATGCAAGAATAACATAGTCAACATGTTGCTCTGCTCGCGTACGCACGGATGCCACACATGTATACATGCACGCAGTGGAGCAACAACTCGGAGGGTTTAGGGTTGTGATCCACCCCCGAAATATGTAGTTAACTAAACTTCATCTCATCCCCCTCCCCCGCGAAAATGAACCCTGTTCGCATCACTGCATATGTGATATACAGTAGCGTACAAATGGGGGTTTCGGGATAAAATAAAAAAATTCCGTTTTAAAATGGTTAGAATGTAAAATACGGCTCTTCGTAAGTAATTCGACGTACATATATAATGTAATATTTGTCAACTATGAAGGAATCACAAATACGTTATCGACATGAAAACTATGTGCATAGCACAACCTCCACCTCCATAAGAGAATCGGTGGCTCCGAACACAATTTGTATGGGCCATTGCCACACTGGCGTTTATGGTGTACATTGTACAAATAATAGCGATCCGTATTTTGGATACAAGACCGTTTTAAAGTTGCAGGCGTAATCCGATACACTCGGCACGCATTGCGGTTGCACCTACTAAGATTTTGTTTTTACGTTCAGACACCGGCGGTTCAGCCCTCCCCGTCGCATTGTCAAAATCTCAGCTGGTAAACAAACAGGTTAGAAATCGAAAATATCACCAGAATTTATGAAACCAACTTGCTCATCCCGATGTGTAATATTTACGCCCTTGGCCATCGATAAACACGTGCGCGTTCGGATCGCATTAGGTGCCCGTACACGAGAGGATTTTACGACGGATTCGGGCTGTGGAGGACTGAATCCTCAAAAAAGTCCTACCGTCCGTGGTGTTCGACGGATTCAATCCGCTGTGAATGAAAATCCGGCGGATATAGTCCTGCGCGGATCAAGTCTCTCGGTTCTTCACCGACCAGAAAGACCGGGTCGAAATAAAAACAAATAAATCCTCTGGTGTACGGGCACCAATTGCGACGCGTTCCGTTGTTGCATGACCGGACGAACGAGAATCCGACGCGCATCTCTCCTCGGCCGGTGACAACTGGAACGAGCAGCAACGCCCAAACGGTCGACCCCCTCAGCGCTCGGCAAGGGACACGGTTCGTTTGCGTTCATCTCGGCCGGAGTGTAAAACGAGCTCACCGCGAAGAAGTAACAAGTGTTGCGTAACAAAGTGACAAGTGAAATAAAACGGGAACCGGTTGAAAAACCCGTCCACAGGATAAAATCCCACCCGGGGCAAGATCAAAATTCTAAGGGCCGAAACAACGTGTACCTGAAAATATACGAGAACAAAATCAAATACCATAGAAATCGGTACTCGGGGAGAGTTTATAGTTTTAAACGATATGCAGTCATGTGTAAACATTGTAAACTAATAAATACGTTCAAGATTATACATTTTAGATTATCTAATAATATAATAAAATGTACTAAACTTCATAAATGGATCTCAATAAGGTTATGTTATAATCAATATGCGTGGTATTAAATTAACAATGGTTTTGAAACAAAAATTCCCAGTTGGAGCAATGGCCCATTTAACCTCCCCTGCGGGCGCGTATGCCGGTAGACACTGTTTAACACTCGTCAACGAATGCACGAACTAACGGAAATTAATAAACAAACAAACGCTTAGGCTGAAGTATTATTATATTTGTAGTGTACGACCGGCGCCGACTCTTTCAGCGGCTCAGTGCATGAATTATTTTGGCAATCCTCTATCTTAAACGACTTAAACATATAACTTGAACAGGCAGAATTTTGGGAGCTGCAAGGGCTTCATTACTCAAGCCTCGTTCATAACCATAAACGATCAAAATAATATTTGTCACATATTTATAAACCATTCAGAGAACAAACATAATAATGCTCGTAATAATATAAATGATAAATTATAAAACTGTAAATGTACCTACAATCTCGGCCAATCCTTGCATGCCGATAGAATAATAAATCACGATAATTATAATAATAATCGAATTTATATTGAATCGCATCGTGAAATATTTTTTCTATCTATAGTACAGTGTTTCCCAAAGGGTGTGCCGCGACAACTTGAACTTTTTTTTGTAAAAAAAAACATAAAATTATTTTTTTTCAAAATAAGATAATATAATAAAATCGCGTAAGTCGTTTTAAGGTTCATCTAATGGACATTTATTTTTTCCATTTCACGAAATGAAAACCTATATTTTACACTTAACGCAATTTTTAAATTTTTATATTGAGTGGATAAATTTTTTTGTGAAATCGAAATATAATGCAAAAACTGTATACTTGTATTTCTATGTTTATAAAAATAATGTGTACTACAAATACTCCGAAAACTTAAAACTATTATGATAAGCTATAATTTAAATAATTTATAATTCGTTTAAATGCACAACTGTGTTAGTATTTTGATTAATCGTGTACGTTTTTTCTTATGGATTTTCGAAAATTATTTTCTTTGAAAATTAATTTTCGGTGGATTGTTTCTTTTGCCTATCTGAAGATTATTTCTATCTTTCGACTTTGTTGAAAGTCTAATTTCCTCAAAAACTTGTTTACAATAGTGCTCGTACACTTCTTTTTCGTTGGTCTGATCACTATCACCGCATAACCATAATTCTGATCCATAAATTATTGAACGCAACAATAACACAACTCTTGATATGTGCTTAAAGTATGCAGTTGGTTTTATGGGACCACTCTGAATGGCAAAGTTCCTATAACTTCTCCTTACGTAGTTTTTTATTGTTAAAAATTCTTTTTCTAGTGAACTGTAATATGCTGACTGACTAGTGAATAAACAGTGTATATTTTCTTTCTTTATAAAATAAGAGGTAACGTCACCAGGCTTCAATGCTTTAGTTTTAATGTCCTTCATTAATCTATGGTCGGACAAAATAAAATGAGGATTTAAAACGTACGAATTACATTTAGATCATTGTTAAGAGTGCTCAGCACTGATGATCACGTTTTATTTTTGTTTTAATTATTTATAATATATTTAGCTAACAACAATTAAAATAATGTAATACAGTTGTAAAATAATTACTTTTCTTTGAAAGAAGGATATTCTAAGTTTACAGCATCTACCAAGCCATTTTTCAAATGATTTGATTTTATTTGTTCAATATCAATCAGTAATAATAAGTCACTTAGCTTGTTATTAATTTCCAATAGTTTCCTAGGTGTTATATACACTTTCATTTGAGGTGGTGATGGACGATAGAATATCTTAAAGTAGGTTTATGATTATGAAAACAATAAAATATTCTATTATTTCCAACACTTACTTTTGTTGGTACACAAACAGTTATTTCAATTCCGGATCCGGCAAAAATATCTTCAATAAGTGGTTTAACTTTTGACCACTCCAATCCATCTGTTCCACAGCCAATTTGAGGAATGCCTAGTTTGATTATTTTCCTTTCTTGCATTTTTTCTACGAGCGACTTTAATGCATGTGACAATGATAACATTGTCGACGTGCCGTTACAATAATTTTTTGTCACCAGATAAAAAGCATATTCTGTTTCGTTTTTAACCACCACTCCAACATCGCCTACGGTAAGTTTTTGGTCCATAAGTTGACCAATGCCTCCAAAATAACGTCTAGATAGCGAAAAAAATAATTATTGTTTTAATCAATGTAAATTTAAAATAGTTTTACTTGAATTGAACCGCGACTCCTCTTTCCATACGTAAATCTTCTGCAATACAATGGGCTAGAGCAACGTCTCTAGGTAAATTGAACAGATTTTCGTCAACTTCTTTAATTGCACTGGAAAACATAAACAATTATTTGTTAATAAATAAAAATTCGGTGGCACTAATAGAATAAATCATAAATGCATTTGTTATAAATAATAATATACCAATTTCCATTTCCTTTGGTTTGGATTTTTGGCACTTTTAAATCTTCCAAAACCTTTTCGTTTTTATCTGTGCTTATAATCACGTTAGTTTTTATTTCAACATTTTTGGTTCCATTATGATCTGAAGACTTGTAATTATTCGATGTTGTTTGACCACTAGATTTAAGTTTAGTTTAAAATATAATGGATATAGATTTATACAATTTGGTTTAGTAAAACAAAATAGTAATCATAAGAAGCTTTGTGTTAGCGAAAAAAATATTTTTTGTACACTAAATTATTATTTTATAATAAATACCTATTATGAGGTCCATCAGTAGAATTGATAATTTCATTTGGTACCACTTTTGAATTAGTATTTTTCGGTAGACTTTCATACTGAGTCACTGTTCTGTAGAATAACAATGAATTTAGATAAACGAATTTTAAAAAAATTAAATTAACTCTACTCAATGACGCTTGTGGTTGATTCCATTTGCTGAGCGCGTTTACGTTTTTTTGCCGTATTTTTGCTCAATTTCTTCTGTTGAGTTCCGTTATTTCTAAACATTAAGGCATACATTACTATTATAGTCAGATATAAAGGTAATAATTAGTAACCACTTAGTTAAATATTTAAAAATTTAAATCTATAAAATATTTAACTATTTGATCATACCCATCCTTAGATAAAGCTTTGCAAATCCTTTTTTTTTCTCTTTTTCCATTTGGACATCCATCACGCACATAACTTTCCACAATCGTGGGATATTCCTTAGTCCTATATTGATTTGATAAGTTAATCACAAAAATTTAGAATTTCTTAAAAAGAATAATTTAAAAGTGAATTTATGATTATTAAGAATCATTCAAAATAATAATAAATTATTTTTCAATGTTAAAATATAAAACATGTTTGGAATGAATTTGAATGTGTTACCTCTTGATTTGCTTGCCTGTTTTGATTTCACTCATCATGTTGGAAGCACTCATCTTATTTATTGTATTCTATTATCAAATACTCTAAATAGATTATGAGAATCTGAAAAAGTTATAATTTACACTTTAATATAAGGTCTTTGTGTTATTTTGATAAGTTACAATGACATTTAGTAATGAAGTTTTTACATGATTTGCGCCAGATTAAGAAGTTTAAATAGGTTTTAAGATCAATGTAAAGTCTTTTTTCATAACTCCTAATGTAAGTCAACTAGCATATTATTAGTATTCTGTTACTTTACTAAGGTCCATTAATTTTTTTAATTTATCCTGCTTTCCATTTATTAGAACAATGGTTTAAACAAAAAATTTGCGCTAAACATAAACGTTTATGTTACTATAGTTGAATTCAGACATGTTTTGGACAATGGCACGAAAAAACGATAAAATAGTTAATATTTATATAAGTTGTCATTAGCTGTTGATAGTTTGTAACTTATATATCAATATTTCTTGTTATCGTATTCATAAATCCGAAATATTTTATGTACCTTCCGGGTATACGATGTAAAATGATAAAAGGAAACGTTTATTATGAAAATTATATTGTAAAATTTCGTTGTAATCCTTGAAGATCATGATGATATGTACATTTAACGATAAATGATTTTGGGTTTGCCAATACGATTCAGATGAAGACAACTTATACTTCGTGTTGTTCTCGCTAGTAAAAGACTCGACACGTGTGCCCCACATCCCTCTCCTATGATAGGATGATTTGTTTGACGTTGCTCACCGTGGGCCGGTAGTTGAAGTGAGAAAAAAGTTAGAAAAAGACTACCTCCGTGTGTTCATAACTTCTGTAGATCGAATCTAATTTTAATTCAAAATATTATTATAGATATACATACTTATAACAGTAGCTGCTAATTCTGTTTTCTATTTAAGTTGTCGGTTACAATACTTGGATACTGCTGAACGACGAATGACAAAATGCAATGTTGAGATTCAACAATAAACAAATATAATTGAAATCCATAGCATGTTATGTATGTAATATTATTTATAAATTGTAAATACGATTAATATAATATAATAACACTTTTTAGCCAACAGTTTTTGATTTTATAATAAAAGTAAATGACTATGTTTTTTGTTTTAAACGGTACAGAAAATATTAACTTTTTTAATCATCACTGTCGTACTGTAATAAAAATGTATAAAAATAATATAATTTTTATTTATCATAATTTATATTTAAAGTTTTGTAGAACTTTGTGTTATTCTGTTAATAAAACTAACAATTGATATTGTTTCAAACAGAAAATGATGCGTTTTAACCAAAGACGGAATAATTTAAATGTTAACATTTGTATATCTGTGTTGGGTCCTCATTATTTAAGTCGTGTTGTCTCTGCCCGTGCATGTCATTTATTAAATTTTAAAACGTGATATTCATGAACAATCCACATCATATGTTACTATTTTATATTATTATTTTTAATATTTTTATATTCTTACATTTATACTGTCAAGAAAATATAATTTTCAATTATATTTTAATATTATTGTTGGTGAAATATTAATCTCGATTAAACCGAATATTAAAATATAAATGCAAAACATTTACCTAATCAACATTAGTAGTGTTTTATGTCTTTAATCGTGATATAAATCATATTAATAATTTAGTGATCCTATTTTTTCGACAATTACCAAGATTCTAAAAATATTAATATAAGGGCAAGTTGATTGAAATATAAATTAAGATCCATGAAATATTATTATTATTCGTTCAATGGCTGGAAGAAAACCATCTTCTTTTAGAATGAGAAAGTCGATCTTCGTACTGAATGCTAGCATCAGTACAAAAATTAATTTGATTTTTCGACGCGAAATAAATATATATATATATATGAAAATTCAAAAATTACGATTAATTTTACATTATAATTCGAAGAAAAAAATATATATTATGTATAAACTGTAAATATGAATGTATGCATAAATGACATAAGCACATACTTTAAAATACATGATATTTATAAAATAAATTACTAAATACTATTTTTAAAATCTATGATTCTAATGCTTAGCACTTTTTTTTTTTTTTTTTTATTTGCTATTTGATTACTTTAACCATTGATTAAATATTATATTTAAGTTGAGTATATTTAATCAATGCTTCAAAGTTGCTTAATTTAGATATTATTTTAAATTTAATTTATGGGGAACATAATAATAATAATTGGTATTTTTTGTGATGAATGTTTTGGCAAATATATTTGAAAAAACCGTTGAAAAATTATAAATTGCAAAAAAATTAAGTAATTTAATTAACGCTTAATAGATAATTTGCGTCGCCAACGATCGATCGGATTTAATTCTAATTTTAACGCCTCTCACGCGCCCTTCTGATTTCGGCGCCTTATGCCGTCGGCACGCGTCGATCGTATCCAAAGCCGGGCCCCGGGTACGACCGGTTCCGAATGAAAAATTCATCATCCGGTTAGGGCGGTACGAAGCCGATAAAATCGTGGCTCCGTAGAAGTATATACTCGCACAGAGAGTAACGCACGCTGCACCCGCGCAATCGCCGTTGATGTTATTTTCAAACGTTTAGAACAAAAGCATTATTATTATTATTATTATTATTTTTTTTTGTCGGCGGTAAAAAATAATAAAAACCGTTTGACGTCTGATTGACGAACGCGTCGTGCGTGTCCGGGGGGGCCAGTAACAATATTTAACGACATTCGTTCAGAGTATAACCTAAACCTAACCGTAATGCGAAAACGATATTTGTTCGAATAATGAATATGTTTTAATAATAACATATGTGTACCTCTTGCGCTGATTTCAATACCATGTAATTTACCTTAGCGGTAATTCACGTTACAGCGTATTCATCACGTGACCTCGATGTCCATGTACCTCCTCCTCTTCCTGTGCGCGTGTACCAATTATAAGTTCTCGGTGCGATCGGCGAAGCACAAAGCGTGTGGTAAGCAAACGGGAAAACCGTCGACGAACCACGGGTGCATGGCGCAGGGACGTATTCGGAGTTCTGTTCCCGGACCGATAAGAACGTAAGAAATGTATCTAACCCAAGTACCGCTGAGCATAAACGATCAAAAGTCAACGATCGTTCGTCAATGAGGTATACGAATCAATCGCGATACGGTCTACTCGGTGTTGGTAATTATTCAGCGATGATAAGTACGAAAACACTTCGTGCTTTAATTTCGGTCGACGGGACGGTGGTTGCGGCTCTCTCGGTAAACACGCCCTGAGCAGTACTGCTGGTTATCCATCACGATCCCAACCAATTACCTAGGCAGAGTAAGAAAATAAAATAAACCGTAATTAAAACTGGTACGCGCTCGTGAAACATCACGACCATGTTAATATGCGCATACGAACGTACCGCAGAACCGTACGCGTACGCGGTACACCCGTGAAACGATCGTTTAAACGTTCGCTTTAAACCGCTCACGTCCGTATACAATTCAATAAGAGTCAAGGTTAACGCGAACGACGACGCCGACAGTGGTCGTGCGCAGTAGAACCGATTCGTTTTAATCGTGCAGGAGCAAAGACGAAAGACAAAAAATAAAAAAAAAAATAGTACACCGTACGTATACGCGTTGTATCGTAGCCGATTCCGTGTATCGAAATAAATCGATTTGCGCGGCGCAAGGTCGATGGGCAGCGACGGGTACGAGAAGTTGCCGAGGAACGAGATCGGCGTACCGTTTACGATTATTTTACGTCTCCTATTATTTAATATTTCGATTTGCGATAATCGTTTGCACGCGACGGCGGCGTCAAGCCACGGAACGCAGATCGCGCGCGTGATACCACGATTAAATCGTGTTCGTGTACGAAAGATACGCTGCACGTCGGAAACGATAACGATTGAACAGAGTCTACGGACGCAAACTGGACACGTGTATTGATCGCAAGACCGCCTGAGGACGACAACGCATAACATTATATCGTTCTGTCTAACAATATAGTAAGTAGGCGCTAACTAGAATTATCAAAAGTAAAGCAATCGATGTCTGGTTGGTTTCGTTATAACTTCAATACACATTTGGATTACCTTACTATTTTGTGCGCAAGACGCAACATAATTAATTAAACGATACGGCATAGACACATATCTCTTGCTGTGTACCACATAATATCGTAGGCGTATAAAATAAATTGCCGCGGCTTGTAAAATGTATCATATCGGTTTTGTCGCAGATTGTGTAACGTTCAATTTTTTTTATTGCCGCAGTTTGCGCATCGACTCTTAGAAAAAATACTGGTTTGCCGCACTTTACAAATTACCATTGTTACATAGTAAAACCCGCAGTCAATAATTGCCGTTTAAACGGTAAAAATCGGATACATAAACTCAGTCGTACATCAAAAGTCAACCACAGTCGGTAAGAAAAAATGGATAAGCATAAGACTGTACAGACTATACAGGGGCGTCATTTTGGGGGGTAGCAGACTATGGCAAATGCCCTACTCTGAGAAATTTAAAAAAGTCGGCAATTCTTTGTCCGATGATCAGTTGCTAAAATTAGTAAATAGTTCATTTTTATTTACTGTTTTGCACTCAGATCTCAGATATTATTCTCTTTTAATTACACGTTCACGGTCAAGTAGGAAAACGCTGGATCCTCCCCGGTTTATGACAATCGTTATTACGCTATTATAAACTTTTTTTTGGTATATTATATATTTCTATATATGTGACCTTTATAAAACAGTTTTCATGATATCGATACCATAAAAATTGAACTCATAATCTATAAAAAAAACTGTTAAAATCGTTCCTATTCACCTCAAACTACGGTACATTATATTTGAGATACAATTTTATGTTTTTATAAGTTCTGTAAAGTATTAAATCTACAAATAATAAAATTATAAGTATTTATTTAATTAAATTTACATTATTATTCCATTAAAACTATTGATATGTAACTTACAGCCTACAAGATAAGTAAAGAATGTTTTACTATCTTTAATGTTATTATTTAATTGGGTAAATTGAAGCGTTTCATGTTTTTTGTTTATCATCATGACATCATTATTCATTACTAATCCTTACATGTTTTGTTCCGAAAAAATATTTTATTGGTAGTCTATGGTCCATAAATAATTAAATATGTAGGTCACCATAATTTTTTAAATATTATGAAGTCGGAAAATTTAAACAGTTGCCCCACCCTTTCAAAAGTTAAAATGACGCCCCTGCTTGTATATGATTTTGTTACTGCACTCATTTTAGGATAACTCGTAAACAATGAATTAGTGGCATACATAAAACAAACCACTTGTTTCGGATTTATGTACCATGGGTCCATAGCGAGGTCGACACACTTATAATAAGTACCTCGGGATGCGCAAATATTCCAACGTCATCGAATGCTGATAATTTAAGATTATTATTATCGAATGAATAGTTAGAACAAGAACCTAATATTAGTACATTAAAAACGTATTCAATATTAGATACGCTAAGAGTGAAAAATAATTATTTTAGTTAAAATAATCTTTTATTTTTGTAACTCACACAACGGTAATATTTTATTTTCGTTAGATTAACACTTATAAAACAATAAGACAATTTAACATGATTAAAAAAATTTTTTTATGTTTTTTATTTCTACTACTCAAATCTTACGTTACTAGAATTGTATTATATAACAACTATTCTCGTCAAATTATGATAATTATGAAAAAAATTCAACCAAATGGGAAACATGGCAAACGGATCAACATTTTTTAGAATATTCATATGAATGTCTATCACAGGAGATAAAAAATGAAATATCTGAACACTTTAAGTACCCATGGCCATAACATTAAGAACATTTTTTTTTTTTTATAATTTTTCATCAATCTGATACAAATAATACAAGGATAAGAAATCCACTTCTCTGGAGTATTGAAAAAATAGAAAATCTTTTTGAATAGGAGTAAGATGAATTAAAGTATCTGGTAAATAACAGAACGATGAAAAATATATTCAATGATAATAAACTAATTGATTTTTGGTTAACTGTTCAAAATGATCAAAAGCAACTGGTCGAGATTGTTTTAAGATATTTGATCCCCTTTTGTGCAACATATAAATATGAACAAGATTTTTCTACCTACTGTTACATATTTTTTGCATTTCAATAAACAGTTAAATACTATTTAAGATTTATTAATTTATGATATTACCTACAAATATACTGCAGCAACAAAAACATAAAATTGGATTGAAAATTTCCATTTATATTATGTTGTTCTACGACTCAGCATTCAAATTTTTCTTATTATAGTTGAGCAATCTACAAATTAAAAAGTATATGTGATTATTAATGTTTTTTTTTTCTAAAATTCCAAATCAACTTTGCAAAAACCATACATTGTCTAATAATTTTATTTAATTTAATTAATTATTTTAACAAATATAAATTGTGTATAAATAAATATTGAATACATACATAAATACATGTATATATACATGCAAGAAAATATAACAAGGTTAATTATCATAAGACTATATTTTAAATCATACAATTACACTTTGACAATTAAGCAACAAGTATACCAAAGTTATTACAAACATTATGTTATTAAAAATATATATTTATTCTATGTATAATTAAGTGTCTTAAAACTAAATAATTTGGTTTTCTTGGAAAACATTTTAAAAAGGAACATGTATCAATAATATTAGAGAGGAATTATATATAACAAATAAAAACACTTTTTCATAATGGTGAAGTTGCTAAAAAATTTCAAAAAAAAAAACTTTAATTTATTTAAGTTAAAGTTTTAGCTTCTAAATGCTATACTTAATTTAATCGAAAATATATATTATGCAAATTAACTAAACTAGAGATCACAACATGTAAGTATATAAAATCATTTCTGTACCCTTATTTAAGTAATACGTTTAAGCAATTTGTATTAGTTAGAAATACAACATTCTAAAAATGTAATTAAATTCGATTGTTTTTGACCATATATACATATGTATATAATTGAGCACATAAAGTCTATTATCAAGAATAAAATATATTTGTGTGTAAAGTATAATGGAATAATAAAGTAGAAACATTACATATTTGTTGTTTCTTTAATTTATTCAGTTAAATCCAAAGAATATGAATTTTGGTCGGTAACTAACTGTAATTTATCCTCTTTAATGGATTTTTTATTTGGTAAAATTTTACGTTTCCGTCTATTAGTCACACCAAACTCTTCATCCATCATACGCACGATTAGAGCAGAATCAGAGAAATCAATCGGTGCAATCGATATATCTCTTACTGCTCGGAACTTACCACAATTGTTAAGATGTTCATTTTCCAAACGGAAAAAGTTCCAAACAAATCGTCTATACATTTTGAATGAAATAAAAAAGTATTAAATAACAAAAAGAGTGATAAAGCAGTTATATCTTACCTAAAAACTTCAAGTGGTGAAGTTAAAGAAATGGCCGCTTCAGTACTTAAAATATTATTACTGATGAGTAAATACTGAGGAATCCATAAAAATCTTATCAGTAAATCCTCAATAATTGCAAAATAATAATAACCCTAAAAATAATAAAAGTTAATGGTTTATTCTATTTTTTAGCTAAGAATTATTCAGTAGATTCCAATATGTCAAATGTTAAAGTTCTATAAATTTTTAAGGTAAACTATACAAAAATAATAATTAATAAATTGCTAAATGTAATTAAAAATTTGAATAACAAAATATGAATATTAGAAATAGAACATTAATATTTTTGAAAGGAATTTTAATTGAAATTATTTTATTCTATCAAGGCATAATATATTCCTTGGGAATAAATTACAAAAACCTCCCACTATATTAAATTTTGAATTATTAATGTACCAATAAAAAAAAATAATTTCTATAATCTAGGGTTTTTAATGATTTTTAGTATAATTTTTGGTGAAATTTATCTTACTGTATTATCGTATACAATTTCTTCCCTCAAAAATGTATATTCTTCAGAATTTTTATTAAATAAACCCCAGTCCATTTTGACATCCCATGTGTACGTATAAATTGAACATATCACAGAACAAAATATCCAAAAATAAAAAAACGGATTATCATAGTTATCTGAGTAATGGTCTAAAACAAAATAAAACATTTTTATTTCAACAAACTGAAGTCATTTTAAATAAATATTCTATTGAATGTATTACTTCTCTTCAACAACGCTCTTGCAAGTACCACAAAAAAGGTTGTTGAATATTTTCCAGCATTGGCTAAGTGTGGAAATGATTCTCCAGTATCCCTGTAACGTCTAATACATTGAGCAAACCGAATCCAAGCAGGAATACAATTGACTATAATTTGTGAAATAAAATATTCTTCAACGTTAAACTTAACATCTGAAACAATCAAAGTAAAAAAATTAAAATAGGAATCAAAATAAAGAGAAATAGTAATAATTTATTGCTTTTTACCTGAAGTATGATACCAATTATAATTGTAAATATAAAAACAAATCAAATAGTGAGCATCTAACAGAACAGTTACTAAACTGTTCAATTGATCAGCAAGCCAAAAGTCGGCAAAACCAACATAATAAAATGGAGCACATACCATTCGCCACTAAAATAATTTCAAGACCATTTGTAATGTACTATACATTTTACAGTAAAAATAGTATGCTTTATTGCAGATAAGAAAAATTATTTTACCATAATTCGTATCAGCCAAAATCTTGCTTCAAAATAAAATATTTTAAGTGGATTGATCATGAGTATTACAAACAAAATAACTAGAGACAATGGATTTATATACGCTGGTATACTTAGAGCATCAGAGTATAAATAACCTAGAATACTAAGAGCACATACAACGCCAAGGATTCCTGCAATTTCAAATAGGTGTTGTTCAGTGACGTGTTTTCTAGGGTCAAGTTCAAATATCAACACATGGTTAACACCGGAAGATCGCCATCCATAAACATTAATGCCCATCAGAAAAAGGAACTCTATTATAAGGAATGGTCCACGATATAAACGGAATGCTTGTCTAATATTGGTTTTTTTTTCAAAAGTAGCTAAAGTATAAAACAAAAATATTTATAAATAATTAATAGTCACATTTACACATAATTTTAAATTGTAAAATTACCAGAAATGAATATTGCAACTAGCAAAACTATAAGGCAGCCTAAATACAGCCCAACTTTAAATGTTGTCCAAGGACTTTGTGTTTCACCCAATGGAGGTACTCGAAGCCTTTTCATTGCTTTTTGACGGTCGCCAGATTCCAAATCATGTGTGACAGTATGTTCTGTTTCATTGATTAACCGTAAAATGTCTTTGTTAGTATAAAAATGAGATATTTCTACATGTTCTTGGCGCCATTTTGCACCGGTTTCTTTGTTCATCAGCTAAAACGTAAAATTATTTATACTTCAAGTACAATAATTTTAATGTTAACACAAATAAATTATTTTTAATATGTTGAATCATTATAATTTGTTTATTACGATTCATTATTAATTTTTAATTTAATTATACTCCTTAAAGTAGCCATTGTGACAAGTAAGATAAGAGAAAAGTCTAAATGCAGTGTCATTTGTTTAAATCCAGTCACAAGCGGTTTCCACTTTCTGAACGGTATTGCCATCTTAAGTGGAAAACTGCTAAGGCCACCCTATCCAATATCTATCACACAAAAAAACAATGATACCATAGTACCAAAATCATCCAACACCCAATGATTTGATTTGCAACTGACTAATTAAAAAAAAAACTTCTTAAGAATGGAAATATTCAAATTAATTGTAAAAAATTAGGACGGTTAGTATTACTAACGGTTTAATAGTCATAAAAATAGGTATATTCAATAGGCAATTTTAATCTAAATAAAAGAGGTTATTGTTTTTTAGAATTTTACTCTTATCATGTAACATCAGCAATGAAAACAATTAAAATATATTTCGAAAGAAAAATAATAAGTTTAATAAAAGAGGAAAAATGTTAAAGAAATTGGTAGTAGAGTATAGTTATAAATTACACAATAGTTATTAATTACACTCACATACACGGGCCATTATGTTAAAGTGCAAGAGTAAAGAGAAAGAGATTAAAGCAAACTTAAATTAATCATAGAATGATTTAATACTGTATTATGATATTCACATACTTGAGATTATACATTTAGTTTCTTTTCTGTAGTAAAAAACCTATGTAATAGCTCTCATGTTATTTAAATTTATCTATGTAAAAATTCACCAAAATCTAAAAACTATAGTTCTCATAGTTATAAAAAATAGTAAATGATACACTATTTGTTTGAAATTAATATTTATTATTCAAAATTTTAATGGGTTATAATTAGTTATATTATGGATAGAAATACATATTTATGAATTTATATTTTTAGCTTTTTAACGTTTTTTTTAACTTCTTATAATTTAAATAATGATATTTTCAAATGTTGTTTAAATGTATACAATATATTTTTCATATAACTATAAAAATGGTTTCAGCATATAAATGAGAATAATGATCAATTGGTTGTGTTAATCACAAATTCTTAAATTAAGCATTTCTTTTTCAGATAACAAACATAAAAAATGAATGATAAAGTGTGCCATAAAATAAGAATATAACAACTATATACAAAGTAGTTCAAAAATTATTTAATTTAAATTCCTAAAACACTTAGAACTGAAACTGACCAGAATTTTAATTTATCATCATAACTTTTTATATTACCCAAGTTAAATTAATTATTGAAATAAAAATGAGATTTGTTAAAAATAAAAATTTAACAAGCAATAAATAAATATAAAATACATAATCAATTAGTCAACAAATATTTACAAATCAACTGTTAGTTAAATAAAATAATAAATTATTAATGTCTTCTTCTAATTGAATCAAATTAAAAAAACTTTTTCAAAGACAAAGGGCATATAAACAAAACAAATTTATATTAATAATGATTCATTAGAATGAAGTTATAAGGAAATAATTAGTAATAGAAAAAGATAAGATTATAAATATGACATAAATCTTGATGACAGTTAAATACTACACATTGTTTTTCCATACAATTGTGCAATCGTGTAATATTTCATAAGAATGAGTAAATATTAAATCTTAGTTCAAAACCATACAAACCTTATCGTGTTTTTTTAAAATCTTCTTAAAACCCGTATAGTTTAAATTTTGATAATTCTGTAAAAGTATTAGACTCAAATAAAACTCGCTGAAGGCTAATTTAAGCTCTTGCACTTTACGTTGAGGTAAGTTCAGTCGATTTGAATCTGACTTTTTTCCATAGTCTTTCATCTTGAGAGCAGTGGAAGAAAGCAAGTCTAGTTCACTCTTTAAAGTGGAGAACTTTCGCATGGCTTCAGCAAGTTTTTCTGAAACGACAATATTTCAATAAAATAATAAATGATCAACAATCGTACTCGTAGTACTGACCTGAGTAAAAAACATTAATCTTGGCCAATTCTTTTTCACAGTACTGCAAAAAGTGTTCATCAAACTGAGTGAAAAGGCGATGTAAATTTTCTGGATCTGTGGACTCTGCTGACGGGGCTTCTTCGATGATTTTGTATAACATTTCTTTCATGTCCTGGAAACACGGTATTGCATCGGTTAATGCCAAGTCGGTTACACCAAGTCAACAGTGCGTATACTACTAACCTCGTAGTTGATGTACTGTTTGCGCCATTCCGGTGTGATATGGGCCTGGAGGTGTTCGGCAAACTTCATTTCGGGCGGATTCGAACGGGTCGGTAGGAGAGTAGAACCGGGAGCGGCCGGACGGAGAAGCGGAAGCCGCAGCAGAAGAAGAATAAAAACAAGGGACACGTAATTAAGTACTAAGATCACAGCGCGTTGAAGTCATGTGCGTGAGCACGTCGATGGAAGTACAGCGGGGCCGCGGCGGTGCTGCGGCGACACAGCGGACTGCGGATCTAGCTGTTGGTCGTGACACTGAAAGTCGGTAGGACGTGCGCGGCGGAGCAGTCGCAGAGATAAGGGATTTTGAAGTGCTGAGTGTGTGTTATTTTCTGTTATCTTCCTCCGCCGCCAATCGTCTTCCGAAGGCTGATAACGGCCACCGACTACGGTGATAACGGCACGCACGCGCACGACCGCCGAGTCTGCGATGCGAGCCGCGGGCGTCGCTACCGTCGCTTTTTACCCGTCGAACCGCCGCCGCCTAACACCGACCGCCGTCGTCGCCGTGTAACGCGTTCGCCAACCACACATGCCGCAGCTGCTCCGGCGCGTGCACGTGAAACGTTTTGAATTTTTACCGTTTTTTTGTTCGTCCTCTCCCCCCCCCCACCGGACCCAACTCGCTCGCCTTTGTACACACGATATTCGACGTTTTCGTACGCTTTTTTTCCCAAGTTTTTTCCGCGTAAACTCACAACGGACGTCACGCCCGTCTATTTCCGTCCGACTTCCTGGACGCGTTTTCGTTCGCTTTTACCCGCCCGCCCGCCGCCCGCTGGACTTTGGCCTAGTTTCAAGAAAAACATCCGAGTGCATCCGCGGTAATAATAAACCTCGCGAAAGGTCGACGACTGCGGCGCCGTTGCGCTTACGGGCCCCGCGTCGGTCGGTCGCCCGCGAAACCACGGCCAGTTCTATTCGGAGCGCCCGGAAATGGACAGGGACGACCGCCGTCACGTGTTGTCCGGCTCGTTCGACGGCCTCTCCGACGACGACGGCCACCACCACCGTTTCAAGAGCTCGTTCGCCAAGTCGATGGCGCTGGAGACGACCAAGTCGCTCGGCTTCGATCTGAACCTGACCGGAAACGATCACCGCCACCGGTACAACACCATCGGCTCGCAGCGCCAGGTAAGCCACCGTATCCGACGCGACTGTTACTCGTCGTGGTTATCATCGTATATTTGCGTTAAGGTCGTTTCACCGTAACATTTTCCGTGTCCTTTGATTTCGTCAGTTTTACCCCGTCTGGTTCGCGAAAAAAGCTACGCACACTGTTCACGAAATTCAACCAAAACCTTTACGCGTTGGGCTCGATCCGTGTGCGCGAACGCGGTCAGTACCGCGTTTGGATAGAAGTTGTATAAATAGATAAGAGAACGTTTTAGTGGCGCCCCCTCACCCTCGATAAAAACAAAAAAACTAACTTACGTTTTGTCGCTCGGTCGCAGTCACAATCTGATGGATTACGTGTTTAATTTTTCGTCCGCAGTTCGACAACCAGACTAGGCCATTATATTCTACGCAGATTCGGCCAAGATTATCGAATGAATAATTTTATGGTCGTTAAATTTTATTTTTTCTCGTTGACTTAAGCATGTCGGAACTCACTGGTTAGGACAGTTTAACTCTAAGTACTGTTTCTGCAATTTAACCAGTCGCTAGGCATGAAAACGAATACAAATTTTTACGCGAAATTCGCAAGACAACGTTGGCGAAAAAGCCAACTATCCGGGGCCTCGCGCCTTTCATAGGATTTAATTATTTGTATATGATAATCTATGATTTTATTTTTAAAATATCAAGTGTGTCCGGTATTTTTAATCTTTAACTTCGATATTACGTTTCGTGGGTATGTATAATAATAATAGTACATTAATAAACAATATTACATTGCTGACGTTCTGATAGTGATGGTTAGATTAAATTGTTGGCAATACCCAATATTTACCGGGTAAATACGGGCTAAATATTTGGTAGATTTGGTATTTTTGAATTTTATGGAATTTTAAATTAATATTTATACGAACTAAACAAATAATAAAATATTCCTACATGCGTCCAACTTGCAACCTTTGAGGGTCATACACATTTTAACTGAATGCATGAATGAGGAGCCATAACGTCTAAAATATAACTTGATCCACAATCTAGCGGAAAATCTAAACACCCTGTATTATTAATGTTCTTAAATTCCTTAGAGATACAAAACTACACAAAAATATTTACAATAGTAACCAAACAGTATATAGTAAGAATATATATATATTGTATATTTTATCCATTATGTTTTATTACTAATCTAAAACAACCTTGTAAACACTCTTTGTAAAGCCAATGGCCCCAGCCGCCGAGGCAGTTATTTTCAATAAAAAAAAAAAAATAATATAATATAATATTCAAATACAGTTAATAAAAAAAATATATACATTCATATCGCTCAATTGATTGTATTTTGAATTCCTATAGTTTCTAATGAAATACCAATCGAATATTTACATGAATACATAATTTAAAAGGATAGCATTTAAAAACCATAAATCCAGCATAAATTCTTGGTACTGAAGTATTAGTTATTTAACCGTCAAGTAAATGAATGATAAATCACATTTTATGCTATTAAAAATATTTTTATTCATCAATACTGTTGGTACAAAAAAAAATATATAAATATATAAGAAAAGTATACAATTTTATAATTTTAATACTAGCTTAAAAAAGGAGAATTATAATATCCTTCAGATTAAATAATAAAAATAATATTTAATAAATCGATAAAAATGTCATAACCATATTTATTGATAAGCAAATCAGAAAAATATTTGGGTAGATGAAAATACGTTGTGTATTTAATCATGGCGCATCACTACGCTTTAATGATAAAATATAATATCTTAAGGGAAAATGTTTTTACATAAATTATGAAAAGTATTATAATATTAGGGCGTATCATGAAAGTTAATACTATGGCCCTGCCAAAAAGCCTGTCCCGGGCATCACAAACCCTCTCCCTGACGCTGGCGAGACTTTACGCTCATCTTACTTCCCATTAAAATATATTACTTGATAATAATGTAATTTAATAATTAGGAAACTTGCGATGTCTGCCTAGGCTTGTAATTCATTAGGCTCTACTCTAAATCTGGACTTGTTTAAATGTTTCTATTAAAAGGGTCGAACCCTACCTATCTTACTCAATGAAAGGGGAGTGGGTATGCTTGCCCCAGGTGTTATCGATAAAAAGGTGTTCTTAAGTTTATGAAAAATAAAAAAAAAGTCATGGTCATACCCCGTACTTCATCTGCGTAAGGGCGCTGCATTTTTATTAGCCTTGGGGTCTAATTTCCTAGATCCGGCACGGGTCATACCACTCAGGAAGTACTTAAGTATTTTTCTGTTGTACGGTCTAATTTAAAATATTATATTCAATACCCTCAACGTCTGCGTTTTTGTTCATTATTTTCTCGAATAAAAGTTATCAATCCCTTAAGCCTCTTTGTGTTCATACGTGTTTTGTATTTAGTAACTTACACTCGGTGGACATTTAGCGTTCACAAAGTGCCCGTCAAGCCGTATGTTTTCAAAATAATTTGTTGGCGTACTTTGGTTAGGCTTGGCACATGGGTGTGCGCGTGCGTTGTGGTTAATTTAACTCTACAATTATTATTGTACCGATTCGCCGTCGTCGTCGATCCCTCGTGGGTTCGAGGCGCGGCTCGCGATTTGTTGTCCGACCGGTTGCCAGGGGGGGATGACGTTAATCGTCGAACACGGTCGAGGAACGTTTGCGAATATTTAAAAAGATAAAAAAAAATGTATAGAACTTAAACTCGACGTATACCCGTATAGTTGCAATTGTCGTGCGACCGTAATTATTAAATATTATTTTTTTAGACATTCGCCGCGCGTTGCAGCATCGGATCACTGTACACGACAACGATTAATTGCCTTCCAGCACGACGTTGTAATTTTTTTTTTTTTATCGTATACGAACGTTTAATATAAATTAATGTAACACGGTTTAAAGAGTGTCTACCGATTGAAATTAGGAGGCGCGTTGCATATATATACTGGTTTCGCCGAGTGAATCCGATTTCTGGCGCCCGCGCGTGTGCACTGCGCTTGTATCACGGACCACCGTTCGCGCGTTAATCCTCCGTTAGACCGCAGTTTATGACCTCAGGACCGCAATACCTCTCAGCTGGACGATATATTATTATCCTCGTTCATGTTATTATCGCCAGAGCTTACCCGGTCGGAGTTGCTGCGATTCGCACCACCACTGCGCACCCCCCGTCCACTGTAAATACTAAATAATAACGGCCGCTCTCCTTTCCGACCAGGAGGTCGTTCTATCGTACGCGCATATCGCAATACAATCCCAATCGTGTAAAAAATAAATAACTCCGTCCGATTTGCCCGACTGGCTCTATCTCGCGCGGTCCTCATCACAACGCGAAGCCACTTGCAGCAGTCGTGTGTGTCACGACGTGCGGTTTGTCCGTGATCATAACCGATCGTTACACATATAAAAAAATCTTAAATTTACGTAATATGTAACATGTGGTCGATCGCGGTATAGGGTATGATCATTAATGTTTTCCATATACGCCACGTAACATTGGCGTATAATGGAAACCGTTAAAACTTCTCGTAAAAGTCTTATTCGGCCGTGAACGTACAGGTGTAGGTACAAGAAGTCACAGCTTTTTCTCCGCGTCACCATGATACCCTAACCCCACTGGTTCCCGATTGGTGGTCTGCTTGTTAATTTTATCGAGTCTGCCATTGTGTTGTGCTGTAATGGTTTTTTTTTTTAAATTTAATCTTAATGAAATTATTAACTTTATAGTCTTTTGAAATTCCGGGTATTTTTGGACAATTGAAACTCGATCATCGTAATCGTCAAATTACAATAAATCGCTTTTTTTTCTTTTCATTTTCATAACTAAACAAAATTGAAAAGTATTTACAAAAATAGGGTCCCCTGACTAATTTAAGTGATAGCTAGAGGTCCGTGGCTTTACATTAATTGGGAACCACTGCTCTAACGTACTTATGCTTTTCTATTAAGTAGCCATTATCTTATGAACATATATGTTATTTATTTATATTCAAGTAGAAAAAAAAAGTTACTATTGTCTCTTACAAGAACTATATTAACATATATTATGAAATTCATAAACGCTTGCAGTGGTTGGTGGCTAACCATGTGGATAAAATATTAAACGTTCAAGTTGATATATTACTACCACAAGAAATGAAGTACATTATGACATGGTTTTCGTTTAATGCCTATTATCTAATGATAATATTTAGATTTTGACAGCGTTAAGTAGGCGTGACCTATGTTAGTTCTTAAATTCAAATCATTTTTTCTTCTGCGTATGTTTATGTATTTAAACGACTCATTTTCATATCTATATGTAGTTCTTTCATTATAACATGAATTATATTTATTTAACTCGGGAACACGAAGAATCATTGAACGTTTAAGTGTGTGTGTGTGTGTGTGTTTAATTAAATAATTTTATAAGCCCTATTATATACACATATCGGTATACCCGTCACCTCACTACAGAGTTAATTTCAAATTATTTGTATGCGTTACGTTAAAATACGTTATTATATCGTTTTTATACGCATAATATATAATTTAGATAAAATGTTTTTATGTTTTTTGAAGTAGCTTAATTCAAACGTCTACCTCTCAAAAAAAAAAAAAAATCCAATTATCTTTAAGTTTGATTGATTAATTTTTTATGCCAATTATGTGTATTTTATGTGTATTTAAAATTTAGTTCGTGTTCATATTAGATATGAATCGTCTAACATACACAAGAACTCGTTCATTAAAAATTCATACTCTATGAGCACTATAATACTCATATTTATATGGGTACTGTGTGTATTATTAGCCATGAGATCTTGAATTAGAAAGTGCATGGAGTGAAACGGTTTAAAGGTCAATTTTGCATTCTGTTATTTTGTCAAAAAAATAAAAAAAAAAGTTAACAACGATATGGGCACTTAGGTACAATTATTCGGAAAAAAAAATTTTACACGGTAATAAGTAGTTTGATATGAAAAAAAATGCGTCGAGTTGTAAATTTTAGTTTACTGTTTTATGTAGGTATAGTTTATTTACTTTTTTGCACCTAAAAAACCTTGATTATTTTTCACAACATTTGATGTTCATACACTTACAGCTTTTAATGTAAATTATTTTGTTATAAAAAAATAGTTTAGGTATACAATGCTAAAGCAAAAAATGTATGTATCGAATTCCGGTTGATATTTAGTCTCTTTGGTTTGAAAATAATAAGAAAAAAACATTTTCATAGTAAATGTAATCATAAGATAATTATTACTTTTTTATTACGAAGACATACCATATTTATTTGGAATTATCAAAAATGATATAGGTAATCAAAAACCAACTTGAATAATTCATTAAATAGATCGTCTAAATTTAAATGTAAAGAAAAACCTACGAGTTAATACTGTTCATTAAACTAAAGGTACGAATTTAATAATATATTATGAATTCTATTTCGATACTAACTTTTGGTTGAAATTTTCTAAGTATTCATTAGACCGTTGTATTTTATCTTATTAATTTGAAATGTTTACGCTGATAAGTATATTATGATTTCCCTAAACCAGAAATTAAAATGGTTAAAATATGATGCGTTATTTTTGGAGTGAAAAGTTATCTATTCAGTTTATCGATTTATTCCTTATTCGATACATTTATCTAAATTTAATGTGATTTTATCATATTAACAACTATCATTAGTAGTTATGGAGTAACCCGTAGCCTATTGGTCGTACTTAATTATAATAAAAACATTTTAAAATCCAGCTTTGACAATGTGTACTTATAGATGTACAATTGTGTACTTATTGACAAGTGTTAACAATTTGTTTTTATATTTGATTAAGATCAATTACACATAGTACCTATGAGACCATACAAAATGTACTAGGTACCCTTTCAAAATATGAATTGTAAAAAATCCATCGTAAATAGAGAATTTGTTACATTTGGTTTTTTCTTGAATAATTGCTTACAATTCGACATATTTAATATTTAAATAAAGTTTAAGGTTTTGATTAATAACCATACTAAATTAATTTTCAGATCTCTAATTATTATTTACTATTATTACCAATTATTTAATTAATGGTTTCAAAAACAAATTATTTTTAGAATGACAAATACTTCTAACAATAATTAACTAGGATACGTACAATATCAGCTTAGTTCAGTTTCACCTTAATTGGTAATACGCTTTTTCGATATAACAAAGTAATGTTATTTGTATTTATTTTTACTTTTTAAAGGAATAATGAAAACTTCGTCTCTAAAAAATGCCTTTCTCAAAGTACCGCAGGAAGCATAATTGTGTAAACAAGCAATAGGTAGTTCAATATTTTTGTTATTTTCTGTTAAACTAATCTACTCGAAGCATATTTTAAACTGTTAACTTGTGTACTTCGTTATGAGTCATGTTTTTAATAATTCCATTTTACCAGTATGTTCTAGAATTATTTTTACTCTACATCACTTAAATTCAAATATAACTTTTAGGCGAGTGACCAAATGGTGAGAATTAAAGCCAATGCTATATGATAAATACTTTTATATAATTTAATAAATAAATAACTTCTTTGTAGCTTAGAATACGACATCTAAGTTAATTTGAAAAATCCTTAGATAAAATAGTCTACTATTAAATATTTAAAAATTAAAATATAACAATATTTTAAAACGGGGACTTATTATGTTTATATTAATAAATATATTTATGAAATATACATTTTAATAATTTTATCAAACCAATAATATATCATTTGTTAGTTGTCATTATTATGTATTTATCGCAGTAAATTAAAATATTTGATTTATATATTATTATGTCTTCAATTAAAATAAATGTATTGTATTATTAGATGTCTAATGTATTCATAATATTCGTAATCATATTTATTTATTTTTTTTGTTTTTTCTGTAGAAATATATACTGGGCATGGATTGAATTATGGTCCAGACGTATATATTTCGCTTTTGATCTTAAAATAGTTATAGGTTATGCAATCAAATAAATCTTTAGTGATAACATATTAGAGACAGTAGTTTCCGGTCAGCGGTCATTCACATACTGCTGTAGTGTTTTACCAGCAACGTTTACACTTCACAACCATTTTGTTCGTGTTCCATGGGAAACTTGGTCTAAGAAATTAAATACCTTTAAACAATTTACCGGCTGTGAAATAATAACCACGACGAGTCAAAAGTACTAATGTAACACTGAAATAATTGTTGGTGTTGATCATGTGTTCACGTTGTCCCGTTGAGGTTATCTCGTTCTCACGAATATTCGTATAATTCAAGATTCTCCTGTGATGGAAAAACAAAAAAAAAAAAAATGTATCTATGCCAAAATTATTTTTCGTTGATAACTAGTAAATTTAAGGATAATAATACGATATGCACTCTGCGTATGTAATTTATTGCTTCCAGTAATGATTATTTAGTAGAATTAAAATATTATGATCACGACAGTTCGAGGTCTGTTAATTACCAATATTATTTCATTAATTGCTGTTGTTTACGTTTAAAAAAATAAAAACCAACTATTATGAAAAATATATGTTATATGGTGTGCAATAAAGTTGAAAACTGTCTTCATTTATCAAAGTATTGTGTTTTTTATTTTCAATAGATATTTTATAATCGTTTACTCCATCAGCCGATTTTTGTTCGAATTAGTTTAATTGAAACAATAAGAAATGCGGCAATTCAAATATCATTTGGTAACTTTTATTTAATTTCTGTAAGAATTGTAAACCAATTACGGACTGTATTGAAAACTGTTAAAGAGTTTTTTATTTTAATTTACGTGCAAATAATTAGTAAACAAACTTTCGTTCCCATTTAGTTCATATAATGACGAATTAGATCATAAAATCATCACGATTTTACATTATTATTTTTAATGCGTTTCATGAGTGTTCTTTACCCGCAGAAATTACTGACACATCCTCTCGCCCGGTATCTGCGCGTTCATTTCCACACTAATTTCCCATGTAATGCCCCTATATTATACAATTTTCTTCGGTACGTGCATGATTCGAAAACATATAATGACACACTAACATATAGTTGATGAAATGGGAACGTTACATCATTCTGAAAAGTTATTAATACTCGAATCGTCCTAACCATTGTACAGGATGGATACTGATTCCGTTATTGAAAATGTTTTGCAATAGTTTAAATAAAACTTTCTCCGTGAAAACCTACCAGTTACAAGTCGTGTCTAGATTATATGCTGTGCTATTTTAAGTTCTGTTGGCGCTATGCGTTACATTAATCCAATATGATTACATGACCATAAAAAAAAAAAAAAAAAAAAAAAGTGCATCTGTTATATTTTAAATTGTAGAATGCATGTTTGATTGTTACACTTAATTTTTGTTTTAATGTAAATAAATGTTTGAAAACTATTCGAAATTATATATTTTTCAGGTGAATCGAAGAAATTCTCAGAGATTGGAATCGAATAATGACAACAAAGAATCATTCGAATTCATTAGGAAAGAGTACAACAATTTACAAAAGGTAATTTATTTGTTGTATTAATTTTCAACTTATCAACTTATAAACTTATTGAACTATAAACTATAAACCCATAACGAATTTAAAGGTTTTATTTTTTTAATATTTCGCGTTTTGTAAATGTTGGAAATCTAATGACTATGCTTTATGATCTCCGTAAAATAATGAATTGAAATGTTTTTTTTTTGCTCTTAAGATCCGTAGACGAATGAAATAATTTGAAAATGATCGAAACAGATTTTTTTCCTTTCTTATTTATAAGCAAATAATCTAAATTATTATGTACAAAAATATCTCACATACAATGTCATTGGATTTTCAATTGTAAAAATATTTTGTTCGTTTTTACATTAAGAAATACGCCTATATTGGTTTAATGGTTATTTATTGCCCCGATATTTGAATACAATACAATAAAATAACTCGGAAAGGAAAGAGGTAGGTATCATAAAACAAATTGTGCAACCTCGTTCATTTGGTTTTGCAGTGTGTGCGGAATTTCACAGTATTCGATATAGTTGTAGTTGCTAAAATGTTCTTACCGTTTATATTCAAAACAATAAAAACCTCGAACGTACAATATTATGGTCGATGTGTATGTATGAACTCAATTTTTCACCTTCAATCATTTCTAACATTACATTAGGCTGAAAATGCACGTTTTGTTGTCGTATGGAATTGCTCTGAATTAAACGAATATTCATATACTATTGCATTTTTCTTTTTCTTAAACTGGGCCACTATTAAAGCAATCATGAAAACTGTTCAATTATTTATCACGAAATATAACTTCATATACTTCTTCATTGTACTTGATAGTCGATATCGAAGTCTTGTTGCATCAGTATTATGTTTTACATGCCGAAAGTGAGATTGTTATAAAATTAATAATAATCAGATGATAATAATGGCACATTAGTGCAAAATAACTTTTCTAAAGATATACTTTCACTAAATATTATTGGTTCTTTGTCAATTGTTATAAAATATAGCCTACTTTTGACGTTGTTATTATTTTATTAATGCTATTGTAGAATATTATTTGATTATTACACTTCTGATTCAAAAGCATTTGAAATTAATGTAAAACAAAAACCCTACTTTGAATATTCCCTGTAACGTACGCTCGCCCGTATTTCGAAAACGATGACTATATTATTTTTATTTTTACTATTTTCTATAACACTTCGTAAATAATGCTTTCTCCAGAACTCGATCAATTGCTCGAATTGCATGGTTTTGTTTCTACTCATGTCGTTCCGTCGTAGATTTCGTGTTCGTGCATAATATCGAATGCATTACGAGTGTCTACACCAACGATACAGCCAAAGCATAAATCCTCTAATTGTTGGATGGCCATTGTTGTTTCATAATAGTACGCCTCAGTACACAATAAACCATATATTATTGTGATTCATTATCCGACAGATCCTTTGTGGTTATTTCATATGTTTTTTTTATAATGTCAACTGTGTTTTAAAATGTTTATTAATGGTAGCCGCGTCGTCGTTGCACTTGCAACTATCTATTCACAATGCTCCAAACAAGCATTTTATTCATTTAATCAATTTAAAAGATCCCGACGTACATCAAGGTAATCAACTTTTATTCGTACACACTTTTTATATTTTGTTTCAACTTCGTCCAAACGATTTGTTTTCCGAATACGTCTTAAGCTACTGAAAACATTGATCGATGATAATAGTTCATATTTTCATTTATTGCTTGGTCTTGGCCACAAACTTATTATTTATTGTGACAAACAAATGTTGCATAACTTATTAAATATACGTGTTTGCATAAATATGAACCCTCGCACAGCTTGATACCGTGGCCTACAATTGCAGTATACTTGTTATTCTGTAGTATACTGTTTTTCGTTTTTTTTTTTTTTTTTTTTTTATAATGTGTACGCATTTCATATTAAATATACAGATGATATTATTTATAAACACTTACAAGAGAAAGTAATTTTCACCATCATAGATCACTGTGCACTAGATTAGGTCAAGATTATTCGCACTGAAACCATTTCGTTACATATCCTTCGTCCTAGAGTATTAACTTAAATGTATATTTTGAGTTTTGAAAATTGAGTAACCTGTTTAACATTTTGTACGCATAAGTAAGTAGTGAACCCGCCGGTTTTAGGACAGTACAGGATTCACACATGGTTTATCAACCATGACAGCTCGATGATTTTGTCTTTTTTATACATAATATACAAACAAAAAATATAAATAAATAATTCGTTGTCCTCCTGTATAATCATTGTACAAAAACAATTATTACTACCTTATCGTGTTTTTTCGTGTTGATAATAAATGATTACCATCTGATTTTATTATTATTATTATTATTATTATTATTATTTGTTTAGCTTTACGATGACTTGAGGGCCAAACACGAAAAACTCGTGCGGAATGATGCCAACGACCAGGCACCTAGCATCGAGTTAACACTGGCAAAGTCCCAAGTTGACACTCTTCAGTGGCAACTAAAGCAGGTGTGATATATTTGTATTGTATAGTTATACTGCGTATTTTTTTACCATAATTTACGTATTTTTCGTGTAAGACGCGTTCACACAGATAGATATGTTTACATTTTATAGGTCGAGGCGAGTAATCAAATGTACAAAGCTGTGTTAGAACAAGTGTCTAAATTTTTGGAAAAAGCCCACACGTCTTTGAATAATATTCAAGACAAACCTAATCTGCCCATTAGGAACAGGTAAACTAATTATTATTTTCGCGTTGTTTTTATATTGCGTTAAAATCTATGTTTTTACCGTGCAGGAGACTGTCGTTGAAAAGTAACAAAGAAGAATATGCAGAAAAGCTCTCGCTCGAAGCGTTTAGATTGTATCGTACTGTTCAGTCTATAATTCATACTAAAGAACCAGATCTAGTCCAACACTTAACACCGTGCTATAGCACTCTGTTTGAGAAGAACAGTAACTCGTCGGTGAGTGCTTGTTGGTCACTTGAATGTAACCTCGTTTTATTTTCTCATGTTCGTGTAACCATCATAAATTGTCATTTAGCAGAACTGCAGTTGTGATTCTTTACCGGCCGTTTGCAACGGTGTGAAGTGCTTGGAAGTTTCTAGCAGCAGTTCCAATCATAGCGATACATCCACTAAAGGATCTGATTTCTTCAAAAAAGAAACCAAACAGAAGAACAATGTCGTTGAAGATGAGAGTGGTTTTTCATCGATCAGCTCACACGACAACAGTAATTCTCCTACTTACCCTGAATTGGGATTGCCACCAACCGGCCATTTGCCTATTCATAAATTTTCAAGAAGGTGGAGTTCTGTGTCCACTACGCCTATTAATCAATCATTCAATTACCACACGACTGGAAGTTCCAACGCTTCGACGCCCATAAAAGTTTGTTGGGTATAACTACAGTGTACAATATATATATATATTGTATCTATAAAAAGACTTATATATTCAGTAATTTATTGTTTTTATTAATTTTAATTAATTTGTTTAAAAATATTAGCCGAGTTGGCAAGCATTTATGGGCACTATTAAAGTTTTTACGATTAATGTTTTCATATACAATCTTAATTTTTCATGACTGCCTCAAATTATATTTTAATATTTTTCTCATTGCTATTTTATTTTTATTTATTTTTTTAATTCACTTCATTTTTTTATTCTTCACTGTGTGTTGCTTTTATAATTTATCAATAATCCATTCATTGTAACTTGTATTACTTTCCATGTAATAATCTTATTATTATCGGACGCAGGATTTGTACATTAATTTAATAGTTCTTAACTAATTTGAAACAAAATTATAAATATAAAGGTACAAATAAATATATATTTATTAATTGTACTTTTTTTTTTTTTTTTCCTTTGTTATAGTGTTTTATCTGTGTAAATGTTGTCGATTATTAACAACAACTATTCAATATTTTACTTTATTACAAATGCATTGTAAATGTATTTAACATAACATGTTAATTTATGAGGAAACAGTTTTAGACGAACGAAGACTGTTGAATAGATTGTTTGAAAATATTCATAAGAATAAATACAAACAGTTTTATCTGGGGTCGTTCAACTCTCAGAATACTGTGGAGGTAAGAACTAAGAATTATGCATCAGCTTTTCGGTAATTGACAGCTTCGAATGATAATCGTTTATCGTAACAACGAGTAATAATCGGTACAATGCATTAAAAATGGAATCTAGTGTATCTGTTTTACTGTTGTAGTATCCGATCCCGTATCGGTAAACGCGTCGACTTCCGTATGACCTACGGGAGAAAGAAAAAGAAAACAATGCAAGTTGAAAACCGTTGGTGACCATCGTAAATTCGGTGTTGTTGTATCACGGCCAATGTCGGCGAGCTGGCACTCTCCGTTACAGTGCGGTGTAAAAATATTTCTTCTCAGCGTTTTTCGTCGTCAGGCGATGATTTGCCGCCCGTCTCTTCCGAAATCAAGACGTGCACGGCACGACGGTATGTTATAATAACTATTTTAAATTTTCCGCCTACGCTGTTATTTTGGGTTAAAGCGTTCTCCGACACATTTCGTACGCCAGTGATGTGGTGAGAAAACGATCTATATTCGAATAATTCCCCCCTCCCGAGACCGCAAAAAAAAAAAAAAAAAAAAACACGCGTACAAAAAAATTATTGCCGAGCCTTATGCTATTTTCCCTTCTTCCCCTCTCTCTCTCTCTCTCTCTCCGACGGTCTATCATCCGTTTTGACCACTATTGCGTGTTGTGCGACTGTTGAAATCTCCATACACAACGACCTCCTTCGCATCCTCCGTTTCTACGTCCGCGCTCGTGTGCTCGTTGCTGACCGTGACCGAACACAAATGAAAATACCGCATATAACCCGGGGGGGGGGGGGGGGGGAACGAAATTAAAATTCAGAAAATGTACACATACGATCGTCATGCGTGTTTATATTTCCTTCGTACGCGATTCGGCGTGTGCGTTTACCGTCGTTAAGACGATGAAAACTGTTTGAAAACGGTTGTTGATGTCTCTCTCTATCGAAACACCCGTCGTAAAATCGTAACGACAATTCCGATCGGGATGATTATCATCACTTGGTGCCTGTCGAAGATGCGCAGTGCCTACGCTGCGGGCAAACGGGCGGTGACTTCGGCGCTGTCGTGTTGCTCGGGCAGCGCTGGACAAGTCGACGGAACGTACGGCTCCAACAACGTGCCCGTGAACGGTAAGGCGAACTGTTTTCGCGGTGGTCGTGCGATCGGAATCGATTTTTATTGTAACACGTTGTTGTTGGTCGCGGGACCCCCCATCGGACGGGTTTGTGCGGAACATTTCCGCGCTCGATATTTTTAAACATCGATTGTTTCGAACGCGAACCGTAGAAAGTGACTACTTGTCGTATTGTGTCTTACACTTCTTCTCTCGCGCGTAGTCTATTGTATTACGTAGTAGTAGGTGTTGTGTGTACGCGGCTCGACGTATATTGTTCTTTTTGTAGTGACGCGGCGAGATCGTCGGACGAGCGACGTATGAAAAACGGCCCCCCCCCCCCAAATCGCGGGGACGATAATAACCGCATTAGGGGAAGTGTTGGAAAACGCAATGATAACTTTTTGAGTGTAACCACCAGACTAATGTTCTAACGATATTTTGTTGCCGCTAAACGACTTTGGTGATTTACTTAACAAGTGTCCGCTGGCGGACTGCGCGATGCCATGGTAAACTTATTGCCCACGGAATAATAAGAAATACTCGACTGAATGACCAATCTAAACGGTTATTTTTTTGTTGTTTACTAAGTGTTCATAATACTCGCAAGTGTTTACGGCACGTTTGGATTTCAATAATTCGTTGTAGTAGTTGGTAGTAGTTAGTTGGTACCTGTAAAAAAATCGGTGAAAACCTTTGCGCCCGAAATATTTTTAATGAAAATGTGTTAACCACGTGCAACGTTGCCAAATTTTATTCTGGAATACAAGCCATACTATTTATTAACCTTATAAAGTTAAAACTATTGCACATAGTGATGGGGGCATAATCGAGTTACTCGCTGTTGTCATATTGACTAATTTTTTTTTAAACCCAAAATGTTGAAAAAATTATAAAATTTAAACTATATTATTTAGACAGTTATTATTAAAGTACTATAATAGTATATTATACTAATCTACTTAATTTAAGTATTTACCAAGAAAAAAATAATCTATATTATAAATCATAATGATAACGTTGTATGCGAAATGGGCGCAAATAAGCTACAGCCGAATAAAAAAAGAACAAATTACAGTTAATAGACATTTTTTTCACAGAGGAAATTTTTATAAAAAACAAAAAAATAATAAATTAACCGACATTGATTTTGAGATTTGATTTTATGAATTCCTTGGTTACTTACTACATTGTATAAAAATTATCGAAATAAAATACTCTTTTTCAAATACGTAATTTTATAATTGTATCGTTAAATTTACTTTTCCCGACTTTGTATGTGCCTGTTTCATACAATGTGATCGTACAATACAGAATTAATGTACCCGACATTATTTCAGTTGTTTTATAATTCTTAAGTCTTTATTTGTATTCAACTTTCATTTCGTACCCTTGGTACGGGTAATGGATTTTTAAACGTATATTAGCTCTTGTGTTCAATCAAAATCAAAACGTTTGCTACGACTTTGCAGTTAAATTATATTTTCAAATTTACCGCACCATTTCATTTCGTTCATGTTCCTGGTATTCGGATAAAACGAAAATAAGTTGATCTCAGTATTCTGTGAACTGGTTGAACCTAAAATGTAATCCTATTAATTACTGCATGGAAAAGAGTTTATATTCGATCGATTTTTGAACGGTTATTATTAATTAAACGGTTATTATTAATGCTCGATCAAACCGTTTATTGTTCTTACGTATCGTCAAATTTAATTTCGTAAATTATTCTCAACAACCGTTTAATTCAATTCATTTTTAATTCGTTTGACCTCTTAAAAACAAAATAATAAAATAATCATTATCGACGGTTAACTTTTTATATCCAATTAAGAATTTAAAAACAATCATCATTGTGTTTGATGTACATGGTATAAAGATCAACACTTACAACTATCAACGTTATTTCCTTTGTTGAATATTAAGTATTGTTGACTGTAAAATAACATAAACACTTTAAATGTATATGCAATCTATTAATTATTCAACATCGGACGGCTTGTAAAATGCATCGCATTGATTTATAAACATCGTTTGATCATGGTAACAGTAAACGCACGCGAATAAATAATAAATTATGATAATACCATTAAGGAAACTGCACGTCATTTGTGAATAAATTAACCTCGCACTCGCGGTACTAACTAGGTTTTATTGTGTGTACCATGTTTGATTAACTGTCAACATGAATTAATTTCAATCAGGGTGTTGTCCGTGTGTGTCTGTTTTTCTCACGCGAATATTCTTAAAATTATTTTAATGACGGTTAACAGCGATCGTCTGGTCCAGAAACACGCGTTTCGTATTAAATCACTGTTGAAACTATGTGCCCATGTGCAAAAATACATTTATCGAGTATCATATTATTGCGATTTGGTTGGTATACATTTCTTAAAGCGACACTGGAAACATCAAACCACATTATAACTCTTTCCCCCCCCCTCTTCGCACGTGGGCATTAGGTATATGATATAGCAGATGTAATAAAATAAATGCACAAATCGCCAGACCTCGGGATAATGTTTCGCGATTCGATAACATTCTCATTTTGATTACGTACTATAAATATACATGTCTACTGCGGTGATTGCACGTTCACGTTTCGCAAATCCCATCGCGATTGCGATCCTCCCGTCCTGCGTATTTTCATCTCGATCGGATTACCCGCGTGCGATGGTCTACACTATTTTTCTTGTAGGTGCGAAAAGATGGAAAAAAAATCGCGTACGAAAACCGCATTCAACGTGTATTCGCTTGTGTAACGCGAATCGCCACACAATATTATCACGATTTCCAACCGTTTTGGATATTGTAGTACGCCCACTTCATGCGAATAAGATTTGTGCATTTGCTATACACGTGTGCGAGGGTGTGTATATGTATTTATGAGTGGCCACGTCAACGCGGATGGTGTAAATCGGTGTTTTGATCGAAAGAAAACCTCATGTTTCCGGTCAGGAGACTGACTCATTAGTTCGTAGTACGTATGTACCCTACAGGTTTTGTTAGTTCTTAAACAATACACCGAAATATATTTACTCGGCCCCTGCTCACGTTTCACAATAATTCTGAAAACCCAACTTATTCTTATTATTTTTAAACAACGGAAGTGAACAACGATTAGGACACGGCCGACGCGGAGTCGGTATACCCAGAGACTTTCTATAGCGATTTATGTGTATAATATTTCGGTACAGAATCCACAGGTGGTTCGTTTCCTTTGTCTAAAAGCAACATATTCGAATCACGAAAAAACCGTAAAGATAATAGAGGTACGTTTACAAAGGAACATTTCAAAGTGCATAATTATTTTTCTTTTTCGAAAACCAAAGGTGTTTTCTAATTTTCAATCAGTGATCCAAGCGTAAATTCATGCGTATTCCGCATTGAAATTTACTGATAATTAATTTCGCACACGTGCGTAGGTAGATTGGATCAGATTTCGGTAGGGTTCGTAAGTTATTAGTAGAGACCGGATATAATTGCATTAAAAATATCTTAAAATTGTACTAAAAAAATTGCCAAAATTGCAATGAATCTTTATCGAAATTGCGGTATAAATGTGTTTAAATTGCAATGAAATATACATTAAAATTACATAATTAAATAAAAATGTACGTCGTAGTTATATTTTTATTGTAAAACCACTGGAAATAATAATTTGTTTATTATATCACGTGAAGTGTACAAAAATTTCAATAATTGCAAGAATTGCATTACTTAATAGGAAGACTTCGTATACATATTTGATCAAACTTGATTTACCTGGTATCAATAAAAAGTTGCAATACCTATTAAATTCGGTCTTTAGTTATAAGCGTTTTTTTTTTTTTTATCGACTCGAGTTGTTTTATTGATTTGAATCTTTTGTACGACAATGTGAACCAAGTGATGCGTATTTCGATCCGCGGGGAACAAATAGGGCCGACGCGGATGCAATCGGTCCAACGACGCCGACCGGACGTGCCGATGGTCAAGGGACAGACGGCGGACCCGGAAAGAGCGGCGGCCGTGATGAAGGCGTGCAAGGAGCTCCGGGTGCCGGTAGGCGACGACGTGTCCTGGAACGACGCGGGCAGCCAAAATAAGTCGTCGGCGCAGGGGACCGCCGCGGTCACCGACGAACGGACGCCTGACCGAGACAATTGACGACGACCGAATGTCTGAACGATGATAATATAAAAACGAAATTCCGTTCGTCTTGTATGATTATCTTGATGGACTGATCAAAATTAAACACTTTAATCCTGTTTCGTTGCGTTGGAAAACAGTTCGATTCGATGTTCAAAAACAAAAAATATTAATTAATATTGTGATGATTTCATCACGGTTTCATCTTCCTTAGAAATCGTTTCCGTAGATATCCTTCGAACGGTATTGTGAAACGCTTGCCCCCGGGGACGCGGAGATATGTCGACCGGTTTCGTAATAATTTATTATTATTATTAATATTACTGTTATTGTTCGCCTCGGTGCAGGACAACAGTTTTCGCACGGGTCGGAGTCATTGTCAGTAGTCAGATTCGTTATGATTCCACCGAAGTCGCGAATTAATTGTACCATTATCCCATTGTTATTTATGAAAAAAAAAAACCGTGTGTGTAGGTGTTCGATCCTCTCGCGCGCGGAACGTGCACCGAACGTACGGCAATTATGTCCAAAATACATTTCAGCCGTCGGGTGACAGTAATGATAAAAAAAAAAAAAAAACCTATGGTTCATTAATTTTAGCGCGCGTGCGTTTTCCACTCGACTGAGGACGACTAAAGGCGGTACTACACGATGCGCCCAATACCTTCAAACGTTGGTCAATCCGTGTGTCGAGTGACAAATGTTAGTGCCCGACGTTGGAACGATTCCCGCTGAAAGTCGGTATTTTTGACCCATGTCGAAGGAGTCAAACCAACGTTGAAAACAAGTCGCAACTAGCATTCGGTATACGCCATGTGACATGTGTATAGTCCTGTATCCAGTCTTTAATTGGAGTCGTGACCACGTGAAGTACTTTGAAGTTTTTTTTTTTTTTTTAGTATTTACTAGTCTTTGGTTTTTTTTTTTTTTACTTTTACTCAGTAACAGGTAAGTATTATTTTGTTTGATTTAAATACTATGTGATTGATATCAATAAATTGTGTAATGTGAATGCGCATAAGTTATCGGGACTTAAAAAATGTCGATTTCAATCGTATACCAATATTTCAAATACAATGTTACGACTAATAGCCTCCGTTGTTATGCGAAAATGTGTTTCACGATATCTACAAGATAGTAAAATTATAGTGGCAGCAGCTGCGATCATCTCGTCCGTTTTCTTTTTCTACCACTTTTTTAAGTTAAACTAACTTTTCGAGTGTGCATAAATTCACACACACACATATATACACTGGAAAGAAGTATGCAACTAACATTCAAACTTGACACTGGATGCAACTTTGGCTACAACGTGTAGCTGGATCCGCGGGGCAAACATTGGTTTCAATGTTCAGCCAACGTTTTCATTGTGGGAATCAACTTTTGTTCGGGACATCGTGTAGCACCATCTTAAGACTTCCGGTGTTGGTAAGTTGATTCCCAAGATTTTATTTAATAAAAATTTAGCTGACTCCCGCATTCGTTTGGAGGACGTATTAATTGATTCCCGGGTTAATTTAATGCAGGTATGAATTGATTCCCAAGCATGAACGAAAATTTCGCTTGTTAGTTTTCGGACTCGGAGCCACCAACAACCGTCCGTTTTATGTGCAGGACCGAGTCAAAGTTACTTCTAACGAGAAATGAACGCGTTTCGCCGCGAATCCGATAATCGCGCACATACAAGCCTTGAGCCCAGTGACGGATCTTGGGGAGAGAGGTTCAGGGGGTCAGCTGACCCACAATTAATATTTGTTGACAAAATTGGCCTCATGGAAATTTTTTTTTCTTTTTAGACCTTGATTTGGACTTTTGGACAGTTGGCCCATCGGAGTTACTTGAAAAATGAATGCCATGTATATTCAACATTTAAAATTTTTTAATTCATAATTTATACTTTAAATTATATCGTTTTAGTAGAAAGTTAAGTAAATCATATTTTATTCCGTACGTTTGTTGTGCTGATAAAACAAGATTATATTTATTAATCGTAAATAAGTTATTATCGGTGGTATCACTAATTCTAAAATTTAATATAAATTTATAAATATACTTGTATACTTTTATGAGCATATTGTTTTTTTTTGCAAGGTATTTTCTAATTCAGTTTCATCCCTAGTAAATGGTCTCTTGACCCACAGTTCCCTGACTCTGCTTGAGCCCAGGGATGTCTACGTTGTATCGATAAGTTAAGAATATCGATATATTTGACCGTAAAATTTTATCGTTTAAGTTCTTCGGTAAAAATTCTTTATCGATATAATCGTTCAATACGACGATAATAATCGTTGTCTTATATAATTAAACAATACTTCTTTTTTTTTTTTTTTTTTCATTTGCACCAGTAATAATTTTTTGTTATAACGAAATCAATTACATTGTTTGAGTACTCTGACTTTCAGTTGCTTGACTTCGGCCCTCTGGCACGTGACAAGCTGCTATTTCAACCGAAGACGAAGGTCGTGATTGTTCTGTTTTTGACGCCGAACTCTGCGTCCGTTGCGTTTTGCTTGCGTCACTTCCGTTTCGTGGGTACTGGATTCATACTCCTGTGTAACCACCGTATGCAGCCACGTGGTTTTCGAATTTTCTTTATGTTCATTTTTTTTATCGACACCGAAATTACGATATTTAACGTGATCGACAATTATGGATTCTTACACAGATGTTTAGAACATCGTCGTAACTTTGTCCGACATTGAAATCTACCTGCTCGTGGCTGCCTGTTGCACCGGAATCGAGGTTAGGAAAAAAGTTATCCGCAAACCGGCGATCGTTGTCCGGAGACAACTGCAACAGAGCATTACGACGGGCACAATGAACGCAATATTACGATCGACGGTTCAGCCCAACCCATAGATTTTCAGTCTTAGTATCCTGTGGAACTGTACGTGACGGTTCCGTCGTGGTTTCCGATTCGTTTGCACAATGAAGAAACCGACATAGGAACGTATAATTGCTCGCGATAATTCAACAATTGTTTCCGATGACGTTTAATGTAACACATGACGGACGTAGGGACGTGGAGTCGTAACAACAGTATGCACAGCCACCGCGACAATAGTAATATAATTGTTATCGAAAGCGAGAACAACAATGCCTCTGAAGTACGGCGTATTCGTCTTCGGTGTTGTATATTATTGTCACCGCAGCGAAAGAAAATAAAAATGGTTCGTTCGTTTTCTTCTTGCGTACTTGTTAATGCGCGCATTATGTTATAATGTTTCGAGTATTATGTGAATGAGTTGTAATTGTTTGAATTCTTTTTTTTTTTTTTCTTTTGGTACACCGAAATATTACCGAGTACACGTTCTTCGAGGGATTTTCTTCGAACACGATTTAAGGGTGCTGCGCACGGTATACTATTGTTCGTGCTTTTATTTTATTTTTTACTGCCAAAAAAAAACATTTCCACACTCTTGACGTTAAATTTCAGAACAAAAGCGCACAAGTATGTTAATGAAAACCGGTTTGCGCGCGCATCGACTGAACGATATACAAAACGAAGTATACCCACCTGTGAACACTCGACGCAATTAATATTCGCTCTGTTCGCACCTCGTATTGTGCGTGCGCGTGTACGGAGTGATTTTTTCAACGCAACACACGCAATTGTAACTTTTACTTAACCGGATTACTTGCGTCAAATAAATCACTCGGTATACCCACAAAATCCAACTTCATGGTTGAACGAAGTATTGTAATATTGTTAAACGCGTAAATACGCTGCTGGCCGGCCGCCGTGTGCGTACATTTTTTGCCGTCATACTTATTTACCATTTAAAGGATTGAGAGGCGTGTAGATACTAATCGCTTGTTGGTGATTTTTTTTCTTTCTTCGATTTTGCTACACGTGTTATTATGTAGAATATACCCAATCAATGAGTACGTTTCGAGAACAATTGATTTCAACCTCTATTACTATTAGAATTGTTATTTAATTAAAAACTACGTAAACGTGTGAATTATGTTGTTGATATAAAATTTATTGTATTATATTACCATAGGAAATACAGGAAAAAATCGTAGCTTTGAACTTTCGACGAGGGAAAAACATAAAACCCACTGCAAAATAGTGTTACGCAATTCGCGTAGTTCATTAGCAATTCCTTAAGCTCGTACGTACGTCCGTGGTAACATCACCATACAGGAAAATGATAGACAGTAATTACACGAAATGCTCACCCTACTTGCCGTGCGACTGTTGACGATAACAATTGCTGAGAGTTTGAAAAAATGTTTTCCCTTCCCGTATGTATTTAAAATGCACGTGGCACGGTTGTAGCGTTTAACTGCCACTGGACAATGCGTAATGTAAAATTCAAATCCTTAACGCCGTCAAATCCTTAAGACCATCGCGTCCGGTTATGATATTTGCAAAATGGAAATTTGACGCCCGATGCTAATAAAAATGCTGCGCCCTTACGTAGGTGGAATTACGGTGTATGATCATTTATTTTTATTTTTTATACACTTTAAAGCGCCCTTGTACCAACAGCTCCTAGGGGCAAGCATACTCACTTTCCTTCCTCCATAGATCCGACACTGTTAGTGATCGCTGCATGGGTCCGGGTTTTAATCAATTGCTGCGGTAAAAAAAAAAAAGGTATTTTAAAAGTTAAAACCAAAGAAAAATTAACCGATTAGATATAACATTTTTAGATAAATTAAATACATTTTCTGTTCCTGGTTGCATTATTTATTTATTTTTTTCTAAAGTTCGCTTAGAACAATGTAGTTTACTGTTGTGTAATATTATGTATCTTTAGACCATGCACCGGGAAAACTTAACAGGTGCGGGGAATCGACATTGTTTCGTACCGGCCGACGTCGTTTGCTCGAACATATTCCATGCATATACACACACACGTTGTGTACCAACAACATCCTGTCGCTACGATAACAAGAACAGTGATGTTACAATTTTTACGATTAATACGCAGTAATGGTTTCATAAAATTTAAATCGCAGTACCGTACTGTGTCGAAGTAGACGGAAAAATAAAATAATGGTTCATTGAATGTGAATCGAAACGAGACGAGACACATGATGGTTATTAGGATTATTTTTTGCTATGATAGTGCGCTACGGAAAACAAACGGTTCTAAACAATTCTAATATTATACACGGTGATCGGTGAACAACAATAACAATGCACTCGTACGCGCGTCACGTATACGGATCGACGTTTAACGCGGCGAGTGTAATACCGCAGGATACGTAGGGCAGTACCGCGTTAAGCTATATACCCACCACGGAACAGATTAAAATATGCCTCCCTTAAGAAAATTACAATTCAAAATAAAAAACAATACATGTAATAGAAATAATATGTATTATAGTTATACGGTCATACAAGAAAAATTATAACTATAAGTGAATATTTTTTATTTTATGTTGATTTTCAAACATTTGCCGCCTCATCAAACATCATAATGTTTTCCGCCTCGGGGCAGTTGCCCCCCGTTAAACGCGGCTCTGACGTAGGGTATTAAATGAACGCGTAGCCGTTTATAAGCCGTTCATAAGACGACGGCGTAGAAGCGGTCAAAAAAGTTGCGAAATGGAATCCGGGGACGGTTGGAGGTTGAATTTGTAATAAAAACAACTGTGGTCTGGAAAACCGAACGAGTACGATGAATGCTTTTACACCCTTAATAAGATAATTCGGTCAAAGACGGATCCTGCGGACGTCCGTTTAAGACCAGATCCTCGTCGGGTCGGGTCAAAGTGTACGTGCTGGCAATGGAACGCTAGGGTGCATATCGTTACGACTTACGCCAGGTCCTGTGACGCGATCCTAATAAAAAAAACCGTTACTCTCTACTCGTTCGAAAATGTTTAACAGTTATACGCGCACAATATTTTCGTGTGTACATGGTACAGGTGTACGAGATGAAAGCCACACGTCCTCCCTTCCGTCTAACCCCGTGTGGAAAAAATATTATCTGTGCAGCGGTTCCAAAACTGCGGTTTGCGTTTCACCGAAGTTGACGGTCCGACTTTCTCCGACCTGGGCCGAATTGGTATTATTGTTTTGCAAAGTCGATTTGGAAATTTGTCTAACGAGTCGGATCAATTTCAGCCTGAGTGAATAACTCACCGCAGGATCACGGATGATAACGAAACGAACGCGATAGTTTTCTTACCACGCACGAGCCTTGGCCAGTGTTTCAGGCACTTCTCCGGAGGGACTGACCCGACCCCTCCTCCCGGAGAAAGATTTGAAGAATAACAAAAAAAAAAAAATATCGAATATTAGAAAAATGTAATTTTAGTGTTACGGTGGATGACCTACAATCATCAGTTGTGAGTCAATACCATACTTGATTAAAAATTTAATTTTCCCGTTGAAAATCAGTAATCCAACTAAGACGTCACACGTATGTTATTAATATCATCCGACCTATTATATCGACCATTAGATTAATGCCAAGAAAAGTTTCACACGATTTATCAAATAAAGCCATATCATTATTAAATATAATGTTCGATGCAAATTTCAACAGTGATAATGATAGCGGTAGTGATAGTGATATTAGCTCTAATGCTACAATATTTAGTATTGATAAATGTTTAAATAAAACAAGAAAAAATAAAAATAAAATGTACTTGATTTAATTAAAAAAATGTAAAAACATCCTCTATTACTCGTAAGACCATAACTAGGGGCTTATTATAAAAAGGAATGATATTCGGATTCTACACCCATAAAACCTGTTAGTTTATGTATATAAAATATGTAAGTTTTATGAACTTTTTG